CCGCGCGGCGCCCACCTCCTCGGACCAAACCCCTGCATCCGCCGCCCCCGCTCCCACCGGCGCCGCCGGCGCCGCCGCCGGCACGGGCGGGGGCCCGGCGGAGGGGTTCTTTCCTGGGGGCTTGACCGTAATCGAGGATGGCTATGACACCCACCCCTGCATGGAGCCGCTGGTTCAGCTGCTGGAGCGGGCGGCGGCGCTGACTGGGCCGCTGCGGGAGGGAGGGGAGGTGAGGACTTTTGGGGGTGGGGCTGGGGGGTGGCGTGTCGTGTTGTGCGGCGGTCAGCAGGGGTTTTTGGGTTGAGTGTTCGGATCCATCCATTGGGGGGATTTCGTTGTGCAAAACAGTTTGAGGGGGCCTGCTCTTGGGCCTACCAAGGGGCTTCTATGGCCGCATAGTGCTGCCACGCAAGAACTCTTTTGTATCAGAGCAGCGCTGGTGCGGGGAGCGGCTGCCGCACGCGGGGCTGCGTGCGTCTGTTGCTGACCGGGCGGCTGAGCAGGGTGCGTCCAAAACAGGCGAAGGAACCGGGCGTGGCGTCTGGGCATCAGAGATTGGACATTGAAACAATCCAAATCCTAGTTAGGCACCAGGGTTTCGGATGTGTCAGTGTCCCGCCGTCGCCCGCTCCTGGAGCCATCCAGACTTGGGGGCTTCCAAGGCGCGCGCGCGGCTGCGCGTCACAAAGAATTGGCTGGGGTAGGGTGCGGGGAAGCGGATGCCGGCTGATTTTTGAGTGTATGCCTGGCGCCTTGGCTGTCGCACGGCCCGTGCGAAGATCAAGGCGGTCAAAGCGGGCTGGCGGCCTGCCCCGGCTGCCAGCCTCAGCCTGGCCGCGTGCTGGCCAAACGAGGCCGCGGCCGGCGGCGCGCTGCCCGCTCGGGTGGCGTGGGTACAGCACGACCTCCTGCTGCGCTACCTGTACCACCCCGCAGCCGGCACGCCCTGAGCAGGGCGCCCTGAGGGCGTGTGTCCTTCGAAGTGGGGCCTTGACTTTTGGGGGTGCGCGTGTGCCACGCCTCGCCACCGATCGGTTGGTGGACCGACCCCCGACCTGGACTGGCCAGGAACAGCCTCATGGATAGGATAAGATAGGATAGGGTGGGGTAGGATCCTACCCCCGAGACTGTTCCCGCGGCCGCTCGCTTCTGCAGCCATCTAGGCCATGGGGTTGGGACTTTGGATCAAGGAAGGTAGTGTCGGTTATTGCAGATGCAAGCATGTCGGTGCTTGCAGAGCAAGCATCATTCATGATGCATAGCGGCTGTCTGCCCCCGGCGCCCACGCGCATGCCTGGAGTTTGGGCGCAGCAGGCACGCCGTCGAGCGGCGCGCCGGCCTGGTTAGGCGGGCGCATCCCGCGCCCCGCGCCCTTCCTGCCCTTTGGGTGATCTGGGCGGCTGTCCACCCTCTGCGCCCACGCGCCTGCCTGGATCATGCGGAGCGCAGGCGCGCGTGTGCAGCCCTTGAGCGGACGTTGCAGGTTTATATGTCTATTACGCGCCAGGCGCTCTTTTGAATTGCATTAGGTATGAGCTCGGTGGGCTGGATTTTGGGGGTGGGTGAGCTGTAATGGTGGGGGCTATATCCTATATGTGTGTATGTGTCCCGGGGTGTGTGAGTGCGTGTGTGTGTGCATAAAAGTGTGTGCATGTGTGCGTGTGTGTGCGTGTGCAGAGGATGCTTGCATGGCTACGGGGCCGTCCCCGGGCCGCCGACGTTTTTCGGCGCAGCCTTTACTGCCGCTGCCGTGTTGCTGGGGCCACCCTCAGTGGACTGACTTCCCCAGCGGGCAACACTTGAGAGCGGCCCCCAGTCCCTCGCGGCGCGCGGTCTGCTGCCTCACGGCCGCCCTGAACCCACCAACAAAAAGCGCGTTTGGCTGTTCCTCAACCAAGCCGACCCCTTCAGGCGCGCCATGGTCCTGGGTCCCCGCCCCCACATCCGCATGCGCATGCGCCACTTCCATACACCCACGCTCTTGCCGCCTCTGAGATCTCATACAACTTCCCTCACCC